GTGGAAAAAACCCAGTCAGGGTGTGTGTGCATCTGAAGTGCAGATGATTTTAATTACAGCTGAAGGAGCATGTAAGGTGCAAGTTTCAGCCAGATCGTTTCCATTCTGATCTTTAATTCTGTGGAGATGAAAATACTCATGACTGCCTCCCTCTAGCTGGAAGAATGACAAATTATCTTCTTTTATGGCAGTTGGGACACTACTGACCCTAAGCAGCAAAATCTCAATAGGAATTATATACATATCTGTGCGAAATAAGACACCACCAGCTTTTGCACGTGCACTCTCTCCATGAGCCTTTCACTGTAAGGCTCCCATGAAAGTAGAACATTTAGTGAACAACGCTATTGATTTTTTATTTTTACTTTCCTCCCACCACAGCCTGCTTTTCTTTGAAAGAGGACTGAGCTTCTAGTGGCTTTTAAGACGTGCACGTGAACTTGCAAAACGCGTTCGACAAAGCCTAGCAAGCAATCCTCCCAATGCTGGCAGATGCAAACTGTATCATGTACCAGCTTTACCCTTTCCACTGTACGATACTCACGATTACCGTGAACGCGAAGATGAGAATATAATGCGTATCGGTAACTAGATCACACGTTTGTTCCCACAAGGTATTCATTTTATTTTATCTGTTGACCTATATTAGTGAAATGATGCAAGGATTAAGGCTTTAAACATCTTCAGTGGAAAGTGCTATTTTAAAATCTGACGCATTTTGGCAGTTTCAAGTGCAGTAAAGTCAAGCTCCTCCAACCCTACCACGGCGTTTGACTGCCTCTTTCTACCCTAAGCATCTTTTATCCATATAAATATTATTAAAACCAAGTGGAAAACGATACCTTTAAACTTCATATAATTGCTAGTTATTTTATACATATATAAACCTGAACTACCCAGAACTCCTCTTCATGTACCTGTTTGCACAGCTGTTATCTGAAAGAAGTTGTGTATTCTTTTGCGTTCTTTCATCTATTGTTTAGAAAAAACGATGTTTCATCTCACAGTTAAAAGAACTTAATTACTTGAATCGTAGAGACATGAAAGGCAAGGGAAGGAAAGAAAACATCTCTCTCATTTTAAACTCTTCTTCCATAAGCTAATTCGATAGTATAACTCGAAAGTACAGAAATCTGAAATCTACTTCTGAGCATTTGAAACTTCACGTCTTTTTACCTCTGTCTCAAGAGATATTACTCAGGTTTAGTGTGACATTTTGAAATGTCACCATCCCTGTCTCAAAACCAGAAGTTGTAACACAGAACAGACACCTACTTGCTTTCATTCAGAAATCCATTCTGTATGTGATGTGATAGAAATTCTAAGAACCTCTGTGCATACCCTTTCTCATCCTAAGGAACGGAAAAAAATAATCACTTCAGGAATCTCTTTCCTGTCCAAATAAACAGGGACTGCTAAAATCAATGGCTAAAGTCACTTCCCAAAAGCCTTGTTATTCTGATACAGCCACAAATCTTGAATGAAAAATATTTTGGGGGAGAAATACTTTCCCCTGAAATACACTCTTGCCATGTCAAGAAAGTAACGTTATTTTCTCAGTAAAGACAGAGTAATTTTGGTTTAGCTGGAAGGCTGAAGTTGGAAAAAGCAGTAGTAATGCCAGAGATCCACTAAACTTCACATTTCATCCATCTGCAGCACCAGAACAGGGAGCTGTCACGATCACTAGCGCGGTTCACTTTCTGGCATAATTTGAGAATCACTAATATTAATATTAGACTTATACAAGTATGTAATCAGTTTTAACATCTATACATGGTAGCATATGAATAAATACATCGGTAAGCTACTACTAAATTTGCAAGCGAACATCTAGGTTCTTTAGAGAGTTTAAAATCATTACATGCAAAAATGTTCAATTTGGAAGGTACCTAGGAAAAGGATTAACCCATCCCTTTCTTGTCCAGTGCCTTGATTTGGTAAAGTATCACTGGCAAGCTGTGAAACATTCTCCGAAGTGAACAGTCATTTTTTGACCCTGGAAGTCTCCTAAGAGTGTACACTTGTACAGTCAAGATTCAGATTTTCCTAAATATTGGAAATGAAAAAACACCAACTATCATCAGTGCCACAAGGAAGGAGTTTTCACTCCGATGTAATTCGCCATATAAGGAAATTTATTTTTTTTTTAAAAAGAGGCCATAATTATTATGCAGGCTATAAATAATACTGGAAGTGATGATCAAAAGCCTTCATCAGCTGATAGGTATCTGGCTGTCAGAGCAAAACATGCAGGAACACAGAACTGAAAGGACTTTCCCAGGCCCCGTGTCCAATGACTGCTACTGCAGGCAATCAGCTCTTATCCTTTCCATAACTTACCCTTCCTATTGGCTCGTTCCACAGCTCCCAAAACTCTCAGTGGAGAAGCAGCTGGGTTTCAAGTAGCTCAATGGTTTTCCTTTCCATAAGTTTATTAATAGCTAGTTCGTACTGCACGTTCCTGTGCCTGCTCTGTCCTGAAGATTTAATATTTCTTCACATTCCTGCAAGATTTCCCAACCACATCGATACACATGGCCAGCGATATCTGCATTTCTGCCACTAAGGCAGCACAGTCCCTATACCAGCTCCAATCTCTCCTTTCTGCACAGGGGCATTCAGACAACTTCCCCCCTGCCCCCGCCTAATATTCCATGTGAGAACCACTGCCCATCCGGGAAAAAATTCCCGCCTCTTCTCTGAATTTTCTGTACTTAAAGGGAACCCAGGATTACAGGAGCTTTAGCAGCATAACACGCCATTGTACGAGCTCTACTCATTTCCCAGCAGACATCCTTCTCCTTAGTCCCTGTGTCCACTCTGTATATTCAGTTCAACATCTTTTCCCATTCTCCATTTTTTGGGGTTACCAGGCCTTCGGATGTCAAGTTCACGCTCTTCCCAGTAGTGGCAATGTCCTCTGACGTTTTACCAGTACAAATTTAGGCTCTTTTTTTTTTTTTTTCCTTTTGCCAAAGAATTAATGGAAATTAATTTAAATCTAAAATAACCAATTTCTAGCACTTAAAGAAAAGGCACTGCCTTGTGTGCTGGCCGACAGTGGGCTGACTGACAGCCAGTGGTATCAAAGAAATAACTAGAAAATTCACAATTTCTTCACTGAACATTCTAAACCAGAGGCAGCCATTGCCAAACAACACGAAATATAGTGAAGACAGCAATAAGCTCTGTATTTTGCTCTTTTTTAAACTATGATTTAACTTGCTCACCAGATACACTTAAATTATAAACGTAGAGGAGCATGTGTGTGCAGGTATTTGACACTTTTCCTAATTATTGAAATTAATTTAATGAGCACTATGTTAGATTCTGACCACTTTACACCAAATCTGTTTTTTCCAGAAGTTGAAGTATTTCAAAGTGAAGAAAAGTATTTAATTAAGCCACAACTCACCTCTGTTACTGTTATCCACACACTAGGTAAAAGAAACTACAAAACCATGATATAAATCAGGTAAAGCAAAGATGCCCCTTCATTTTTGTGATGATGTTCTTTTGTTCAGGTATGTCACCCAGTCAGCTCTCTAAGAACTTCCTACTTATTAAGCATTAATTCAATGTTTTTGTCACTCCATGACAAAAATCCTTACTTAGCTGGAAATGAAGACAGACTCAAACTTTGCTTTATTTTTTAATAAAGTTTAAATAGTTAAAATAAGAGGAAAGAGTATGTTTCAAAGCCAAGCTATTTCTTTGTTCCATGCTAGGCCTTAAAAGTTGGATTTACTAGCAAATACGGGCCATGAGAAGAGAGCTGTATACTTAAAATGCTGGTGTAGAATATATTAAAATAGCCAGTGACCTACTCCAGCTTACCTTAAAACAAAGGAAACACAATCTTTACAGTTTTTTAAATGTACTGCCTCTTATCCCGATTAATGGAAAAATTATCCCTACAAAAGATTTTTTTTTTCTTTTTGAAATATAAGACTCTACAAAATATTTGCTTTATCCATTGGCAGGACTTTGAAATTCTCCAGAATATTTAGATGTGTCTGCCTAAGAAAGTTTATAAATGCCAATCCAACACTCTAACAAAAATTCCAAACAGGACTGGAAATTAGAATAACTCAACCAAATCATTCCACTGTAAGAATATTATGTTCCAATTTCTGCATAAACACAGATCAGCATGGTTTGTTTTGTTTTAAAAATTCTTCATGACCCACAGAATACAGCATAGGTTTATGTCACTATTACCTTTTCCCTTCCATTTCCTTAATGCTATTTCCTCATTTACATCTAAAACATGATGTAATTTGTCTACTGACTTTTTGTGTCCTTAGGGCTTGTTTTAGCCTCAATTCTGTCTTCATCCAAGGAGATCCTTCCTTCCCCTATTGTTTCTTAAAGAGGTTTTTGTTTCTTTGATTGATTTTAATTTTCTTATTTTTCAGATATGGGTAAGTATCCTACCATAAAGGGAGTAGAGAAACAAAATGGGAACAGCTCTGGGAGTTACCGGGACATTTGCAAGTCAAGACTTTGAGTAGGAACGTCAACAGCTGCTATTTTTGAAAAAAAACATCATGCTTTCTTCATATTTGATAATATTTGACATATTTGATAATATGTCTACTATAAACATAGTCTTGTGCCACAAACAGCCACAAACTGCAGACAAAGCAATATAGCACACAGTTTGATGAATTTAGCATAACACAAAAAAATGGCAGAGTCCTGGTAGCAGCTGCAATGGTAACAAACATTGAGAAACCAAAGTGATCCAATAACCTAAAAATACATCTGCTAAACTAAGGAAAAATCTGTGCAACGAGATTGGAAGCTTCCAAATTTCAGACTTTGCTCAGGGACCACAGTAGAAAACTAAACTCAGATGTAAGGAAGTATTAGCTTGGAAAAGCCTCAGCTTTCCAAAATCCAAAATTATTAAAAAGCAATACATCTGTTCATCATTCCATGATTTAACTGTTTTCTAGTCTATGGGAATAAACAGCAGGATACAATTGTTTGCAACATCCGTTTACTTTTTTTTTTTAAAACTTTTTAAACTAAATTAAGAAAATATTCTTACAGAAAAAAAAATCAACCTTAGATGAGCACAAAGAAATGGCATGACAAATCCTGAGACAAATTATCCTACATCATTGCTAGTCTATGAAAACCAGTTTGAATAATAAACATACTGGAGTATTCGGTGACATCATACAAACTGAAAGTATTTGTAAATTATTAAGTTGTGCATGTTTTTAAATGACAGAACATGCTCATGGATTTACTTGAAAATCTCTCACTGCTTGTTATCAAAGTTAAAAGATCATTTGCATACCAATACACATACTGTAAACATGAACTTCTCATTAAGGAAAGATGGGTTTACAGTAATTTGATCTTTTACAAAAAGCTATTGGTAACTGAACCTCTCAGTGTCTAACTTTCTAGAAAATTAAACCAATGTTTCCACCCTCAAAGTTGAAACACTACCGCTTTAGGAAACAGCCCTGTTTATTTGTTAATCAGAAATACAATCAAGTGGCATATTTCCATTTGCTCTTCGGCTGACGGTTTCAGCTTCATTATATTTTACAAGAAAACAGCAGACTCGCAGAGGTCCTGTAAATTCTTTCATATCGCAACCGATTTAGTTACAGCGGTGAAGAAAAGCAGCGGTGATGCAAAATAAGATCAGCCCCATTGCCCTTATCTGGTGATAGGATCTCTCTTCCTGTTTGGCTTGCAGCAGTGAGGACTTCTTGTTTTGTTTCGTTTTTTTCTTGGTTTTTTTCTTCTGGTCAGGCTGCCTCTGTCAAAACTGACGGAAGCAAGAAGTTGACATGCCCTTATAATTCCAGCTTGAGAATGATCCTCATTACCAATACAGCTGAGTTTCAATCAGTAGGTCGGGGAATGATACTAATGTGGAGAAAATTATCTGGATAGCTCATATGTTCGCTTAGCCACTGTACGGGTGTTTCCAGCATTGGCTCAATTCCATGAATCATCACTTGAGTCTTCTGCTCTCCATCTAATTCAAAGAAAAAGAGAAACCACTAGTACACCATTCCAAGTTCACAGAAAGATTAAACATTTACTTATACTTAATTTACGGTAGATTTAATTGGTGTTACAGAGTTTAACGTCTAACAGAATGAAAAGCAGGAAATACAGTACGGAGAAAGCTGAGACTTCTATCATCTAAAACAGAAACTTTGAGTTAAAATTAATTCCAAGAAAAAACTGGATTAAAATGAAACTTAATGAAAGTGCCACTCTTCTTTGTTATTTGCAAGTTTGGTGGTGTGGTTTTTTTTTTTCCCCTACAGTGATCACAGCTTGGTGTCACTGCAGTTAAGGCACGTCCATCTCGCCTGGCTATAAGCCATATGAATTTCACGCTTATGATGTTGAGCTTCATAAAACATACTAATGAAGTTGTATTCTTAATACTGTGATCTCCTGAAAGAGTTGGACTACACGTAATATGTCACACATATAGTACATGTAATATTGCTGAAGTAATTTTGTTTTGCTAAGAATAATTTAGTTAAGTCTCTAGCAATATTTCAGAGTTACCCAGAAGGCTGAGTTGGCACCAGCTTTGTCTCAATTAGTTTCATCTCTTAGTAAAGCTAAGTTAGCAAATGACTCCCAGTATGACAAGAATATTTTCTAAGAATATTTCAATTCTTTTTATTTATACTTGTCCCAGAGGATGCAAGTACTTTGATTCTTTGATTCAAATGATGGGAACCAGCTAAAGCAACTGACATAACTGTCATGAAATGAACTAAAAAAAAACCCCAAAAATGAAAATTTATTTCAGAGTCTTGAGATGGGAAGAGCATCTGAAATATGCTCCAAATAATGGTTGGGGGCGGAGGGGAAAGGGGAAATAGGCAGTGACCTTTTACTGTTTTTATACTATACTGTGGCATTCTCACATGGACCCACCACAGTGAAATCCACATTCAGCGCTCAAAAATATCACTGTCTTCTCTAATTGGTGTTATATGCTCCCCTCAACTGTCTGTATTACAGAACAAACCACCATGCTCCCCAAGAGTTGCATGAAAGAGCAGATTCTAGAAATGAAGGTGTCATTACTGGCTCTTTCATTCAGCTACCCCAGCTGTAGAATAATTCCTATTTTATAACATAGACCACATTTGTTTGGTAACCAAAATGATTTGACAGCTGTTCAAAGAAGTTAGTATTATAACCGGGTATCTATGCTAACACAGGCTAAATTAGACTAGAAAGAATCATCCTTGAATATGCTGTTGACTTTATGCTAGTAATAATTCTTCCTGCAGAAGCAGACAGTTAATGTTTGCCTAAAATAAAACATTAAACATTAGTTACATGTTACTTACACATGGTATCACATTCTGCACAAATTCTTGATTAAATATATAAAGCTTGATTCTCTAAATGGCATAATATACACATTATCACACCAAATTAAGCATAAACAACTGCTGGTTTCTGGTTTTATTGCAGACAGGTCAGAAGAACGCAGCACGTCGTATAAAAATAAAATTCTGGTATTTGCAACCAAAGGCGGTATTTATTGGGCTGAAACATTATCAGTCAGATTGTCAAGAGTATAAAATCCAAAAGAAAAGATCTCAGAAACCAAATTTTCACACTAAGTAGTTAGGGAATATCTAAATATTTTTAATATTAAAGTAACTCCCAAATATACGTATTTAACACTTTCAAATTCAAATCTATCTGTGGTATTCGATAAATTGGCCGCAGCATTGGTGACCTTTTTTTACATTTCATAATATTATTTAATGTTCAGAAACAGCTAATTTGCATGCACAGCCAGTTGGCAGAATGCTGTTTCGGCATTAGTACTGTGCTAGCCACCTATACGTAGCTAACTCTTGGCAAAAACTTGCACAGAAAATAGATTAAAAGCTTCAGAACCTCAGTATCATTCTCTCGTCATTGGAGGAAAGGCTGATAAATGATAAACACTTTCTTTGGCTCTTTTACTGTGTGACAGAACATTTTTGAATGTCTGTGCCTGTACGTACTAGCTTTATTCCTCTTGCTTAAAAAACGAAATGCAGTTAATCTGCATGTCCCCATTCCCTGCTCCCTACCCAACTCTGTCCCTTTCTCATACAAGCCTTTTACTCTGTTCCTCAGCAAACTGAGAAAGTCTTCGAGGTCAATGAAGAATTTACAGTTTAATTAAAGTCTAAATCTCTGCATTAGCATTGTTTGTGCTTTAGTATTATCTCTGACAAAGCATCACTTCTCCTCAATTCCTTTTCCCCTTGAGGCTTGACTAAAGAGATCTTATCTACCAATTCTTTATTTACTGTAGCCGACTTTTGCAAAATCCATTGTTTTTACTTTAGCATTCTTCCCTCCTTTTGTTACTAGGGACCATAAACTCTCACTTAAATCACATTTACCCAAACTTTCCTCAACTTTCATGTTTTCAATAACTTCCCCATTTTGAATAACATACAGAGTCTCTCTCCTATAAATGGCTCCTCTGCTTTATGTAGCAAAAAGTTGTCATCAGGAAATAAACTAAAAATATTACTGGAAAATATTATTCTTGTCTCAACAGCTGTCTAATTCATATCCGCCATTACCACTGTGATCTGGGTACTGGATGATTTGCTAGCTATCATGAAAGCTTCATCCACCTGGTTTATAGATATAATAGATTTACATAATATTTTTCCTTCCATTACTGTTCATAGTCTTAAGAGTTGTAGCTTATTTTATATGCATCTTGACACACCAGGTGCTGCCCTCTTCTTCCCCATCCATATTCTATGATAACAAGTAATCTTTTTAGACTGACAAAATGCCTCTATAAAAGTGTACAAGTTGCTAAACACAACACATATTTAAATGAGTGGTGTAAGATTTAAATGACTTAATTCCAAGGAAGATTAATGCCATTCTATGTCATTGGACTAGGCCTATAAAATTTAGGGCAAATAACTCTGCTCAGCTGTAGTGCATGAGGTCCAGACCTGAAAATATCATTACTGTCAATATCTATTTTACGATATTCGGTAATGTAGTAAAAAAACCACACCAGGATTTCTTTAAAACCAAGTAGTTCAATTTTCCAGTTCCCTCACCGATGCCCCCCTTTTAAAATCATGATAGAACTGAGTTACAATTTAGCTACCATGCGACCTGAAGATGGTTTCTTTTACTTTGTTGCAAATTAACCTCAGGAAGAAGAAGAATTGAAAATATCAGAAAAATAAGAGCATAGCAATGTATGTTTTATAGGCAGTTTTTATAACGTGTGTGCATAATAACTATTTACTTAAAATCAGAGTATTTTTATATTACTGAAGTGATGCACAAATAAGAAATACTGTTTGGGCATTTACAAAAAAAACCCAACCCTCTCAAAATCAATTAAGTCATCTCCTCTCAGAGCAGTTGACCCAAGATTAAATTATTTTGCTTTCCTGGTGGAAATTCATAAATACAGAAGGCACTACAGGCCCCAAAAGTCACTAGTGGCAAGTGATAAGCACAGATGAGAAAGCTTTTTGGTAAAACTTAACAACGTTGCATCTTTAGAAGGCAGATAACTATGCTTACATTTTGTGTCCCAAGACATTTTGGAGACATTTCAGATCACTTAATTTAGACACTACCTCAAAGGCTGCAACACTTAAAGTAGGTATCCGACTCAGGCTAATAAATCGTACCATGTAAAGTCAGAAGACTTTTCCAACTCTGTACAGAAAATTGACAGAAACATGCAGCGCTGAAGTGAAGGGTTTAAGAAGAGGTCTGCTCCTCTATCACCTATAAGGTGCTTCTGTTCCAGATCAGAAAGCACTTCGATCTAGCCAAAGAAAGTATTGGCAAAGGACTCTCTTTTGCAGATAGGCATCTGCTGGAAAGAAGCAAGAAAGAGTGGCCGTTGCATCTCAACAGAGTCCTTGAAACAGTGGTTGAAAGCCTTCCTCAACTCAAGGCAGCTTGAGTCCACTCTCCCTTCTTTAAGGAGAATGCCCTAACAACTACAATATCTGCTGTTGCTAATCCTAAACTTCCCCTAAAAACCCTCAATGTCCAAGAATCAGTGAGACACCGAGAAAGAACAAGGAAGAGAAAAATCTGTGGCCTTCAGAGAAGGCAGGAAGATGGCGCAATGCCATGGTGTCACACGGTAAGTTTTTCTGTTTCCTTTAGCTACGTAAGTTACCGTTTGCAAAGTAAACCGCTCAATATTAGGAAACAAAAGAATTCAAACTTCTTCAGCATGAATTTCGATTGTTGCACATATCCTTGATGCAATCCAAATACATTTTTCTGAATTATCTTTTTAATTAGAAAAGAAGAATTAAAGAGAAAAGAAAAGATTGTTTTTGAGATAGACTCAAGTGCCTATGAGCAGAATAGTGAGAAGGCACTACTTCTGGCAAAGGTACATATTTCAGCCATTTTTCACTCAGATTAGCACCACAATGCTCACCAATGCTGCAGCTACATACTCCCTTTCACCTACACTCGATCAGCTTCTCCGACCAGACTAAGTCCGTGATGCACCACTTAAAATTCTTCAGTGGGATGAAATACCTCCCTTCTTATTTGTGGCCTCTAGCAATCACCTGCCAGGGCAATTTAGCTGGCTTAAATTCTTTCACTGACAGACAATACAAGATATTCAGGATTTAGCAAAAATGTCCCAGGAGTACTTCAATTAGAATCCTCCATATGCAAGCCCTCTGCATAGCAAGACCCAGAACCTCCCTGCAGTTACCAAAATGGACAATGCAGAAATCGCAGCTTACTGAAGGCAGCACCACTTACAAAATCAGCTTTAAGACTCTAAAAAGGGAAATAGAACACTGTGCTTCTAACTAGGAGAAAACACCACACTTGTTGCGTGATACAAGGCCACAGGACTATATTGGACAAGGATACTAAAAAGCCTAAGGAGTAAATACACAACCCAGGAAAGTGTCATGCAGTAGCAGCCTTATGAATAACGTAGCAGAACTAGTTTCTTTTTCAGCT